AAAACTCTGACTTACTTTGTGTCCTCCCTTGGTTGGAAGGACCACTTGGACCACTTAGGAAGCTCTTTGGTAATCAGTGTTAATCTTTCTGGAGAAGAATTTACTTGAAATCCTTTATTTTATTTTCTTCAAATTATGTTTTTATTTTCTTCCACTTCTACTCAAGTCTGTATCTTAATGGTGCTCACATAAATATGGAAAACAAGCCCTGTGGGCTGTAGTGGGAAAATTAATTATGAAAGTATGACTGGGTAAAATTATTCTTACAATTCTCTGAACTCTTTTCTTCAGTCATGACTCCTTTGTGCAAGTATTTCCAACCCTTTTCCACAGCAAAGGAGATCAACGATTACGTTTCTCTGACATTTAATGTAGCACCCATGTTTCTGAATATTTTCAGTTCTCCTTGGCAGAAACTCATCCTTTTGGTAATTTTGTCCAGTTTATAAATTGCTTTTTTATCTTCAGGGACCTATGCCTATAACCTCTTCCTAAATCCTCGAAATGTACATGTTCTGCTTCCTGCTCCTGCTGGGTTCTTTTTACTTACGATTTATTTAATAATATATTGATATTTATAATGTTATAAACATACAGAACAGTGTTTTTGAAGGAAATCTGCATAACAATTTAATATAAACACGTATTTTTTTCTGGCCTTTCTTTTTTAAAGAAATAAAATGTTGAAGATAGTCTGATAATATTCTCTTTCCTATTTTATTCCCTTTTATCCCTCCCAGAAGTAACTAGTATTATATTTTCTGCTTATAACTTTATCATTTGACTATATATCTGTGTAACTGCTATAGAATGTATAATTATATTCTGGATTTTGGATTTATTTTCTCTGCCACCATGCCTTTTCTACAATATACATCTCTTCCTGCCAGCCTTCTTCTTCATCCCCCTATACTTTCCATGGCAAAGGGAGCTAGAACAAGTGACCCTTTCTGCTTCCTTCTTTCTTTTTGACCCTTTCCTTCTGTTCCACCGTTCCCTCTTCCTATGTGCATTACACCAGCAGATTCTTATTTTCTCTCTTTCTCCCTTTATTCTTGGTGCCCTAGTGTTAAATCTATTCATTTCTATATTTGGCCTTGAAGGTTAATATGAGCTCAGTTTTTCTCTGCCATTATTTGAGAAGAAGTAAAATGATGTTACTAAAAGCCCAAGAAATGTAGTTTAATTACTTTCAAGCATAGCAGTGTGCCTGAGGAAAGAAGGGGTGGAAGTATATGACTTAGAGAATATGATGCTTTAGACTATCAGACATGCATTACTTATAATCAGCATGCTTGTTGTTTAAACATAGTGCTAACAGCATAGTAATCTTTTACAAAATTAATTTGCTCACCAAAATTCTTATCCTCTTGGATATTGGTACTTTCTTATTTCAAGGCCTTTATATATCAGAGATTTTTACATTTATCTTTAAATTATCCATTGTAAAGTTTACTGTAAACAGTCCTTCTCCTTCTTTAGTTGCCTGTCTTGTGCAAGATACAGTATGAGCAGTAATGGATTGGGGTTTTCCTCTCTAAGGATATGCCAAATGATTATGGCAGATGTTTGGAGCTCAAAGGAATTTATAATCTTAAATTGTAAGATATTTATTCAAATACTAGTAGAGAGAATATTTTTCAGATACTCCTAGGGAATTTGTTATACAAATACTACTGTAAGAGGTATTTAAGCTGCTGAAAAGCACTGACACTTACTTGGACCCAAGAATTAACTAAAAGTAGGAGAAAAGTTTGGCTGCTCTGACTCCATTTCATTCCTGTCATCCTTTGCTCTGAGCCATTCTTTCCTGAAGCCACCTTGAAATCAAGGAAGAACAGAAATTATTGATATCATCTTTATGACAAGGGACTGAAATTATACTTAAAGAACAGTGGAAACTTGCAGGTCAGACCAATGCCCAAATGAGGACAATTACCTATAATGATGAGCCTGAACCCTGGACCAGGAGTAATCATCTCATAAAAACCAGATTGCTCTGCTCAAATGATGACAATAATAACTTCTCTGGAACTGGAATCAGAACTGAGACAATGACCAACCAGGCCACACCTGTAACTGGGACTGTTTAACTATGCATACCTTTTGCCCCTGCCCTAATTCTTGTTTATTTAAAGCTACAGCTTATGACACCTGTAACTGGGACTGTTTAACTATACATACCTTTTGCCCCTGCCCTAATTCTCATTTATTTAAAGCTACAGCTCATGTCTGTTTCCTGAAGAAGGCTGAAGATGTGCTGAGTGCTTACTCTGCCTATTCCCATGTGTGTCCTGGGCTGTGTAATAAATCTCCTTTCTGTGCTCTTCACTGTATCTCTTCATCTGGCATTTAGGGGTGAGTGGCTGGACCTGACATATGGAAGCCTAGGAGTTTGGACCTCAGTCCAAAGTTCTGATTTCACTACTAGGGAAAATACCAAGTATGGAAGAAGAAGTCAAGGAAGAATGACTTGTTGAGCTTTCCTGGCTTGTGGAAAGACTTGTTTTCTTTTTGTTGTTGTTGTTGTTTGCTGCACTTGATGGGCCTTCAGAATCCTTGATTATATGCTTTTGCAATATTTGAAGGATAAAGAGTTAAAAGATGACCTGTATGTAGTCTAGCCATCACAAATTTAAATACTGTCATTAGGTATTCAAGTAAACGTTAAGGAGCTCAGTTAGAATGCAATTGAATTGTCCAAACTCTTCACTGAGTTTCTGTGGTCAGAATAGCTCTTTGGTCTTTCTAACAGCACTCTTGGCTTACCTTCCCAATATACATTCTGGAGTGTAATTTAAGCTCTTAGCTGTCTTCTTGCCATGTTCAAACCCCTGTGTTTTGTTTTTCTGCCTAGAACCGAGGATTCCTAACCTAGGGCCACCACTGTCTTCCTCTAGTGGCTAAAAATGATAAATTATGACACACAGATATATTAATGAATGTCCTTCTGTGTGCTCACATGAGAGGTGTCTATAGGTAGAATAGGACGAGGAAAATTACTTCATAAGTGGAGCTGGAGCTTTTGCAGCATCTTTTCAATCTGACGTTTTTCTAGCTTACCATCATAAGCCTGTTCTTCACACTGTTCCCTCCCTCGACATCTGCGATTTCGATATGTAAACATCATTTTCTATCATGTCCTATGGTAAATACTGAAAATTAATATTTTGGCATTTTTTCCTACTCTTAGAAAAGAGCCTAGGACACTTAGCCCTATGTTTGCAGATGGTAAAGCATACCTACCCACTGTTGACTTTTTTTCATTTAAAAATTTCCATTATAACTTTTAGGAACATAGGCTCCTTGTTGCTTCTCGAAAGCTCATAAGGGGCATACTAAATATATGGATGACATGTCTGTTGGAAAAGTTTTAGGTTAAGGACTTTAACTGAAGGTGAATTTTAAAAGGTTCTAGCTGGGTGCCGGTGGCTCATGTCTATAATCCTAGCTACTCAGGAGGCAGAGATCAGGAAGATCTTGGTTCAAAGTTAGCCTGGGCAAATAGTTCACAAGACCCTATCTCAAAAAACCCTTCACAAAACTAGGGCTGGTGGAGTGGCTCACGGTGAAGGCCCCAAGTTTAAGCCCCAGTACCATAAATAAATAAAGAGTTCTAAAATGAAGCTTTATAGTTACAAATTGGTGAATGTAAACAACTTTGAGATAAAGAAGGATGTCTGTTATACCTTACAATTTCCCACATGATCCTGAATGTTTTATGTTTTAGTAAAGGATGAGACAATAAGATCAAACCCAGGCTTTGTTTGCTTGTCTTGGTTTTGCAAAACCCTACTGGATTTTGTAAATAATTTTGGTGATAATTGTCTACGTCAAACAGACAAATGTGATATTTGATACATAAATCTGCTTTCCGTGTTAAGGAAAAGCAGTATATAAATACTTGAACGGTAGCAGAATGTGACTATGGAGGAAAAAAGCACTTTCTGGGATTCATGAGGTAGGAAGGCTTATCCAAAAGCTCCAGCTTAATAGTGAGTTTTTGTACCATTTCTGTTTCATAGGTTTTTCTGTTCAACATAAGGGCTGTCACTTTTTCTTATTTCCTTTTCTTTCTGATATGGTGTAGTACCTGTTGAGCATCTAATATATGCCATGTTCTGTGCTGGCAGGGATGTTACATGCTTCATTTAATCATAACTTTGTGTCCAGCAGTTTCAACGTGGGCTCAGAACTCAGGCCACCTCACCGCACTGAAATGGAGGCTGCACCTTGCCATGCTGGCGTTCACCATTCATTTTCCCCAGTCTGTGAGAAGCAACAATAAATTGACCACACTGTAAAATTTTCATAAAACTAACGATATTCCTTTCTTCTGTTTTTTTAAAACTAAATGTCATTTGTTTTATAAATAGAAAGGTTTTTTTTTTATACTGTGTTCTTCCTTGTCATAGTAAAACATTTGCAAGTCTTTATTGGCCCTTTTCTTCCATTCTTTCTCTTTTTCAACTTATTTATAGGTCAAAAAATGTAACAAAACCTCGTTTAAAAATTACTGTTTCAGGGTGGGGATTGCTTAGTGGTAGAGCTTTTGCCTAGCATGTGTGAGGCTCTGGGCCCCAGCACTGGGGAAAAAAAAAAGAAAAGGAAAAACTTTAAAAAAAACAAAACAAAACATCATGTCTCAAACAAACCGTGTTGAAACATATCAATTATAAGGGCAAAACTTTTAAATTACAAAGAGAAGAAAGGTATTTTTTAAGTATTTAGCAATAGTTGACTTTTAATTTGATCTAGTAATGATAAAATTTTATATGTTGTGGCTTCATTCTGATTCAGTCTTATCTGCACTGGGTTTTTATCTGTGAATATTTGACACAACTTTTGGGAAGCAATGTTTTTCCAGGAAATACTTATTTCTTGAAGGGTTGTTCTTTCCTACCTTTCTCTAAAGCCCTTCTTCAAAGAAACACCTGGATGGTTTATCATTTGCTGGGCCTCTTCGATGCTGATAATGCTTTATTTTACTTCTTCCTTAGTGATACAAATGAAGTTGACATCCCACCCAACACTCGAGTTGGCACCAAGCGCTATATGGCTCCGGAAGTGTTAGAAGAGAGCTTGAATAGAAATCACTTTCAGTCTTACATCATGGCTGACATGTATAGTTTTGGACTCATCCTTTGGGAGGTTGCTAGGAGATGTGTTTCAGGAGGTAAGAAACAGTGAAATCTTTGAGAAGCTACTATGGCAGACACTGCAAATCCTTTCTTTCTGATCAGAAAAGTTATCATACTGTGTATAAAATCAGGTATCTTCCCTCTGTCCCCTTATTTATGTTAATGTAGTCACAGCCCTTCCAGGAGACAGTCCACATATTAGTCTTTGACTGCCTCTCTCTCTACCTACTAGTGAAGAACTCTTCCAGACACACTGTTGACTTCCCTGCCTTTTGAAAGATCACCCTCAGCTACTCTGTGTTCTCTCACTTCTCTCTTGAGCTCCTTCTCCAGCAGTCCTCCAGGAGGTCAATCCCTTTCCTACCCCTCCTGCTGCTTCTCAAGTATCTGAGGAGCCCAATTCCCAGCCCCAGTGCCCATTCTCTTGTGACTTCCTCTGCAAAGCTGACCCTAGAGATGAATGTAGGGGGGTGTGGCACCCATTCCTTAACTCCCCCATTTCTTTACTTTCTGTAAAATTTCCTTATAAAGCAATTTGACAACATTAGATTTTATCAAAAGAAATTAAGCATCATCATGATGTTACTGTTTATGTTAATTTTTCTATAAGCACAAGGAGTCCCTGATGACATCAATTATAATTAATGATGTCCTTAAATATACAAAAGTATTGTTGCTTGTACTGTTTTTATTATCGCTGCATAATCTGTTTTCTAGTAGATTGTACCTTCTTTTAAAGCTAAGAAACTGAATCTTAGGTTCTTCTGGATCAAATACAGAATATACCTTGTATGTCACTCTGCGCATGGTTATGCTCATTAAAAAGCTTGATTCTGCTGCTGTTTCTCATAATGGCCAATTTAAACTCTTCAGGAAAATGTGAGGTGTCCCAGACTGCAGTGTGCATGTAACCTGTTCTGGGAATTGTTCCTGTACCCACTATTTATTATCTGTGACATCTTGGGCAAGTAACTAGACGTTTGTTTCTCTTAAGAATGAGGCAAATTATTGGTTTACTTTAGACAGTTGTGAGTTTTCAATGAATGTAAAGAGAATTAAAACTCCTTGGCATATAAGTAGCACTCAATACATGTTAACAATATGTATTATTAATTTTCATTTTGGCTAATGGAGCCACAGCACATGTAGATTCAAATTTAAGTAAAGCGAAGAAATGTTTAATTAACAAGCATTCTTAATACAAAAAGATCATAAATGTTATAATGCCTTCTAATAACCTTGGGACTTCTAAGCCCTTATAAGCCGTGTGAAATAGAACACATTCTCCTTGAAGTGAGAGAACTCTTGTCCAGGGTTAAGTTAAAGCAGGCCGTTTTCTCTAACCACATACTAAATAAATTTCTCATCATAAGAATGAAATAGAAAAGAATTAACCAAAATACAAATTGACTAATTGCCTCTGTGCCTTGATTTCCTGTCTTGAGAAGAGGAGAGGAGACTATTTGTGAATAACCTGCTCATACTTAATTAAGGTATATCTGTAGAAGGTAAAGGTATAACAGAGTACATGATTGCTTTTCTAATTATGGTTGCCTGAACATCTAAAGCAAATAGGTCTGCAAACAAGAAGCCTGCATTTGAAACCCTGTGGGCCAAATACAGGAGAAATGTCCCTCAGTTTAGAAATGAGATAGCTTTATGTACAAGGCAGTGCCTTAATCACTTTGCTAGGGCTATCTTTGCATATGGAGATTTGATAAGTGTCTCTACAGGAGATTGACTAGGTCCTCAGATGATAAAGTACCTGCTCTGCTCCAGCCCAAGTTCATGGCTTTAGGCAAGTTACTTAACCCTTGAACCAACTTTCCTTATTGTGGATATATATTATTGTGTCATACAAGTATTTTGAGAATTTAATAAGATAAACTATATAGCATACCTACCTCCATGCTTAGTATATAGTAGGCTCTCAACAAATGAATTTCATGTTTTTTCTAGAGAGGCATTCTCTAACTTTTCCTTTATAAAGATTTTGGGAGATTTTTGGGCTTACCTTTCTAGTCCACTCTGTTAGTGATAGAGACACAACCAGATAACCAGATGCAGACATTTCAAAATTTGGAAGGAAGGAAGAGAGGGAAGAAAGGAAGGAAGAGAGGGAAGGAGGGTAGATTGAAGGAAGGATGGAAGGTTAGTTTCAAAAACAGAGTTAATGGCAGCTCACATGGAAATTTTTGATAATTTGGCTGCATGATAAAAAGAAATGAGTAAGGCCTACAGTTCAAAACCATACTTTGATTAATTCATAATTTTATATGGTTGGCTTTGCCTGCGTCTGTTGTAGTTTATGTCACCATCCATCTATCTGTCCATCCATATAATGGCACCAGCATTATACACCAAGGAAAATATGAGATGAATTAAATAGGTCTGATCCTTGCCATCAAGATGGTCCTTGGACTATTGTCTTGAGGATTAGAAAGGAGGAGGAACTAGTGAGATCTGCAGTGTATTGGGCCCTGTGCCTTTATATCTTATATACTGAGATAATGGAGCACAACAGATAATACATATTACTGTACTGTGTAGTCATAGCGGGTGACCACAGATCATTTACAATTTATGAGTTGGAATAACATGAGAAAACTTTGTACCTTCTGGTTCTTCATTATTTTATATGGGTTTAAATTTACAAGAAAGGACATAACATAAGACCCCAGAGTTTGACAGAATAACCCCTCAGTGAATTTAATCTGTCAACTTGATGAGCTCATCATTTTCAGGTGAAAAGCACTGACATTTCTATAGAAGATGATTTAGGATAGACTGGAAAGATTGTTCAGAGCAGCACCCTCTCAGTATTTGGGGACAGGGACTGCTTAGAATTACTCTGAGGAATGCCTCAGATAAAGTTTAAAAAATACACACAAGTAGTGTGGATAAAAGTAGAAATCAGCTTTTAGAAAAGATGAAATGGAATAGAATTTATGCAGAAAAGTTAAAGAGAAAATAAAAATCTTCAAACAATATTCAAACCTAAAATAATCATGTTTAGTATTTTTGGTGTATCTAATTTTCACATATTTAATGCGTAAACCTATTCTTATGATTAAGCAGAAAAAATTTAAATCTGACATTTTGTTCAAGCAGGACACACTTCCAAACTTAGGATATTGATAATCTCATACTGTAGTAATAGAAACACTGACATATTACATTGTATGAATTTATGATGTGTCTTCCAAATTTGCATTGAGATTTGATGTAGTTTTCTAAAGTTTGGTTTTTCTAAAACTTGAATTAGAGTGCTCATTTAATTTAACTTGTAAATAGATTTGAAGACCTATGATAATGTTTTTCATTATTTTTTCTAAGTTAGATTAAGTACCACTTGGATAAAATTTTTTCAGGATTTACTTTGTTGTTGTTGGTTTGAACTTGTGTTAGTACTGATAGCTATTTCCTTTAAGAACAGTTTGTGTGTTAGAGTTCTTTCACAGAAAATAATAATAATGGAAATACACTTTCAGGTATAGTGGAAGAATACCAACTTCCCTATCATGACCTGGTGCCCAGTGACCCCTCGTACGAGGATATGAGAGAAATTGTTTGCATCAAAAAGTTACGCCCCTCGTTCCCCAACCGGTGGAGTAGTGATGAGGTAAGGCTTGAGGCGGTCGTGTCCCTACAACTGACTTGCAAATGCACTGTTCCTCTTTGCCAAAATTCCAGATACTCATTACTGACACTCCTCTTTGTTTTGGTGGTGATGATAATGTTGACACATTGCAGTAAATTATGTGGAGCTATGTGTGGTATGGCAAATATATTGAGTGGGTCAACATTGAGACAGATAACATTATTTCATTTAGTTGTGAAGTCTCATCGTTTGCATAAAGGCTGTTAATTCCTTCTGTATGTGTTTTAAGGCAACATGACTTTTCTTTATAACAAACTCAGATACATCTTTTTGGTATATCATTTTGGTGAGAGAAAAAGGCAGTTATCTGAAGAATTAAGGTTTCTATGTAGTGCAGTAGTACAGTTAGACCTAGTGAAGCTGCTTGACTATACTGTGATCTTTGTTAATAAGAATGATGAGATGTGACTTAAGCAAATACACCTTCAGCTTGGCTCTGACCCAAATGTATGGACAGGAGCTGCTGGGCAGATGGAAGAGAGTTGAGCAGACCTCACCTTTCCTGACTGTCTCCGTCACTGTGCCTTCAAACTCACCCAAGTCTGAAAAATTCTCTGGCATATTAGGACATTTAAGATGAGTTTGAAGCACACTCAGAAAAACGGCTTTATCAAATTTGTACCAAACCCATTGCAAGCAAATGGACAGAACATTGTGTATAAAGTAATGATTCAGTGTAAAAGTCATTTAAAAATAACCTTTGGTTCATTGGTTTTTTGTCTAGTTACAGAAATGTTAAATAATATAAATGTTTTCCAATGAGCTGTGCAGAAAGTGTTATGAGATGCTAGAGTTACATTAGTGTGAAGGTTGTTGTGGGTGTCAATGCTGTTTGGAATCCCTTCTCTAAGGATCTCTAATGAAGTAAGAGTGTACTTTTCAACAAGAAGAGCAATAATTGATGTGCCACAGGAGAACTCCGGAGAAAGTTTTAGCAATACTATGTAGAGGTCATTATCTTATTAAATGGTACAGTGTTTGCTAATATTGTCGCAGACTACTGTGATTTAGGAATAACCACATTTGTTTGAATAGTACAGAATTAGATAAAATATTAAAACTTCTCAAGTGTTTTTAATAATCCAGAAGTATGGAGTAGAATACAGATTCCTTGAGTATTTTTATATTTGCTTAATACTGTCTTCAAAAACAAGCTTTTTTGGTATGCACAGTGGCTCAAGCCTGTAATACCAGCTACTTGAGAGGTGGAGATTATTAGGATTGCGGCTCAAGGCCAGCCTGGGCAAAAAGAGTTAGTGAGACTATCTCAAAAACAGGCCAACCATGATGGGGCACACCTGTAATCCCACCCACAGGGGTAGGTAGGAGGAGGCTCACAGTCCAAGGCCTGCTCCACACAAAAAGTTTGCAACCCTTGCTAAAATAACTAAAGCAGAAAGACTGGAGGCATGGTTCAAGAGGTAGAGTACCTGCCTAGCAAGTGCCAGACCCTGAGTTCAATGCCTGGTGTCCCTTCTACAATCAGCAATGTCATTTGTTTGCTCCTTTCACAAGGAAGACATGAAAATCTATTTGTGTCATTATCAATTTGCAAGGAAAAGTATTTTTATGGAATTTTATTTCTACATGGTTTTAAGGGTACATTAAAAAGTATATTCAGACCTTATGGACCCAAAATCAAAGCCAAATATCAAATGCCAACTCTGCAGAGAGTATGTTTTTCTGACATTACTCAGTATTCTTTTCTCTTTCACAGTGTCTAAGGCAGATGGGGAAACTCATGACAGAGTGTTGGGCTCACAACCCTGCATCAAGACTGACAGCCTTGCGTGTTAAGAAAACACTTGCCAAAATGTCAGAGTCCCAGGACATTAAGCTTTGACATGACGGAAGGGAGCATCTCTGCAGAAGGCTGATGGAGCTCTTCTGCTTGTGGGCAGAGCAAAAGATGTTACAGAAGCATCCTCAGTACAAGCCTTGAACACCAATCTGCTTCCCAGTGGGTTCAGACCTCCCCTGTCATGGAGCAGCCTGGACAGTCAGAGTTCACAGAAGCACAGATTCATGTGTGTGTGTTTGCAGGAGGGAGAAACCACCTGGGTAACTTGTTCAAGAAATGATGCATGTTGCTTTCTAAGAAAGCCCTGTATTTTGGGATTGCCATTTTTTAAAGATGCTTTAATTTTGCCAAAATAAAACAAATATTGTAGATGTTCTAAAGTTTATACAATTAAAGTTTAAATAATGACAAAAATTCTTCCCAGAAGCTCTGGGTAAATTTAAATATGTTTTTGCATTGGTAAAATATTGTTGCACTCTACAAACAGACAGTCTGTGAAGTTGGAGAACAGAAAGGAACTCATCTTACCCACTCCCCCGCGCCTCCTCCACCCCAGCCTCAAACCCCTTTGGTCAGCCCTGCATTTGAGGCTGCCACAGCAATGTGAAGCACCTAGGTACAAGTTCCACTTGTCTAGGACCATAGTTTTGAATCCCCACAGGTGACCTCTTACAGCTTCAGGCAATGTGGAACAAATGAAGGCGTTCGTGACTCCTAATAGAAGTAAGTGTTGCTGGGTGTTATATAGAACCACTTCTGTTTCTGATTGTGTGAGGCAGTTCTTTAGTGGTAAAATCCCTTCCTTCACATTAAAAAAGAAGCAAAACTTTTTTTTATGCGCAGGGAATTGACCTGTGCATGCTTTTGGTCTCTCAAATCAGAAGATCAATATTAAATAAAATTGCCATGAGTCGTGTTAAAGATAAGGTGCTTTAAGATAGAGATAATTTTCTCTTGTGTTAAAGAAGACCATATTAATAAGGTAGGGGGGAAGATGAGGGTGCAGATGACTTATTTCTTATATATGCAAAGGAGCCAACTCAGGAGCATAAGGAAAGAAGTATGGACACCTTATTTTGTATAAATAAAGATGGTTTCTTTCTGTTAATGTTTGCTTTTCTTATTTTTTTAATCTGAGTTAATAGATAGAGAAGAAGCATCTTTCAGGTTCATTTTACTAAATTTTAATTTAAAAAATAGATAAATGCAACCTGAATGTAGAAGAGAGTTAGTAAAGGCCACAAAATATTATGGCCGCTGTGATTTAAAATTCTAGAACAAGTATGGACTGAATATGGACATCTAGTGGCCATTTCTCCCTTAGGAACACTCACTCATTCTAAAGATGTTCAATTTACTACTTAATTTATGATTTTTTTCTTCTCTGTGGCACTTGTACAAAACATCTCTTCACTTACTTAGTTCTACAGGGTTTTAACTTTTGAGTAACATGAGCAAAATCCCAAACAGGGCCAATATTCCTTAGCAACAGAAATATAATCAAATTTAAAATTGTACACATCTCTCCCAACTTTATTCATTATTTCCTTGCTGTGGTTTTCCTTTGCTGCCTAGAAATTCTGGGGGGTTAATAAGGAATTTGGAAGTTCTTCCCCCTTGGCCTTAGAAAAAAGACATTTCTTCCAGAATACTCCAGGGGGCAGTGTTTTCTAACACATTTTCTCCACTGGGTGACTGAAGGATGGAGAATTTTTGGAAAAGTGAAAGCTGTGTGAAAAACGAGAAAACGTTTTCCTCAGTTCTGAAGTACATTTGCAGTGGGTTCTTCATCAGGAAAGCAATCCAGAGCAATGTTTGTGAAGTGTGCTTACAGCATGGGAAAGTCATAAGGAGAAACCCAGCATTCCGTACTCTGCATTTACTTCCCAGTGCCTCAGAGCCACTTTGTTTTCCGCAGAGGAAGAATTTCTCAATTCTCAAATTTCAAAAATGAGTAAAAACTATTGGCTCCAAATATAATTGTAGTCAGAATGCTGTTCTTACTGATTTTAACGTAACCTCAATAGTAATGTAAAGGGAAGGTTCATTCCTCTTGTGTCAAATTATGTTCTTGGTGATAGCCTAGAAGGAATATATAGGTAGAGCTATGTGTGATAACCATCTGAGCCTTGGAGAGAATCCCAACGACTCTGTCATATCACCTACAAACAAGTAAGCATTTATGCCAGTTAAGTGGGTTCATTTTGGTGTTTTTGGGGTTTTCCCTAAATTTGAGTGAGATTTAGCTTGTCTCTTAGGTAAAATTGTGTTTTCTTTTTGGTACGTTCTTGAACATGGATAACTTCAAATCAGAGTATTTTGTGGCCAGGTAGAAACTTAAATGTAAACTAACTTTCTAGGGTTCCAAGGAAGAATGGGGAAAAAATGAAAATAGTATCCAAATTTTTCTATGTTCATTTGGTTACTTTTGGAAAAATTGACAGGTTACTTTCTAATCCTTAACCTGATTTAGTCATTATGAAAAATTAAAAATTATTCCTGATATACTTCAAAAGTTCCACTTAACTATCATAGTCTTTGAATGAGACAAGAATTTATTTATGAACAGATTTTGCTATGTATCTTCCTTTACTTGGGTAAAACTAAATTGTCCTTAAAGACTACCTACTCACTTCCCAGAAATTCTTTATGACTTAAATTTCTAGCACAAGTGAATTTTATTTTATTATTATTTTGTTTTGTCCTTCAATTAAATAAGTAAGAACCTGGAAATTAGTCATGTAGTTGATTGCTTACTTTCAGGACTGTTTCAAAGACTAAGGTTGTCTTCTAATCCCTCTCCCCCATAGGAATCCTAAATTATTAGTTGTTAGATAAACTTTGTATGCTGAGATGTTCAGGTTTATAGCTTATGTGTGTGTACATATTATATAAATAGAGATGTATATATAAATATTATGTTGAGTCTGGCACAACTCCGTTATGTGGACTAGAGAGTAAAATATTAAGGATGATAAAGTACTAAATGAAACATAATATTTATTTATGAAAGTGTGTAGATTGCTAAGTCACAAGGGACGAGCATGAACATTGTGTATGAGGAGACAGGCCTGTGACCTCCTGGAAAGCACCGCTCAGAAGTCACTAGTGACCATTCTTTCTCTTCCCCTAACAGAAAGCTTCTTAGAAAACATGCTGAGATTTTATTTGCAAGGAATCCTTTGACACATTTCAACTGGTGTGTAGTCAAGTATAACAAGTACTTATAATGACTGAATTTCATGTTCCTAAAGTCATGCATATTCATTAGGAGTTTTATACTATTGATCTGTTCTGGCTCTTCTTTGTTTGTATGTGGAAAGGCAATGAGAGAAGGACAGTTTTTTAAAGCTTGAACATGGTCAGTCATTATACCTCCTCCCAAAACTCAGACCCATGGCAATGGGAATGAAAGTAGTAGTATCAAAAGTGATTTAATTTAGCAATTATGATTCCTTTTGTAAAACAAAACCAAACAAAATAATGCCATATTTGGGGGGGGAGTTGGCAATATATTGGGGTGTTATTGTCTGTTTTGAAATGAAGTCTCATTTGTGTTCTTTTGGGGAACCAGTGCCTTACAGAGTTTGTATATACTGTAATTATTCAGGATTAGGGAACAAATAATTGTATTTGTTACAAGTTGTATATGGCTTTGTTTTAACATTCTCCTAAATAAAATGTTGTCATTCCCCCAAGAGCAAATGTGACTGTTTTCTTATAGTTGTTTTTTTTTTCCCCAAAATATCACTTAGTAATAGGCAGGAAGGCAGCAATGCAGAAGGCAGATGCAGGTAAGTGTGTATGCTCTGGCAGGAGGGCAACAGAAATGATCTGAGGCTCCTATTTTCTCTGTTATTAGGGAGCACAGTCATCTGCTGAGAGTGAGGAGAAGGCAGGGTAGTTGTTTGAGAGAAGTGGAGGTTGAAATTGAGAAGCGAGGTTTAAGGTTGCATTGTGGAAAATTGCAGCCAGCTAGGGAAGTATAGCCAGCTGATTATGGGTAATGCCCAAGGCCAGTTGAGATTAATTCTGTATGGTACCCTAGTTTAGAATCTGTGTAAATCCAGCCTCACTCATTCCCCCATTTCTGTGACACTGGGCACATCCTGAACTCTTGAAGACTCAGTTTCTTTCCCTCGATGATGAAAATACTACTAATATCTACTGCATGGAGTAGTTCTGAAGGTGAAATAAGGTTTGCACCACATGCTTGGTGCAAACCTTGGACTGTTTCTTTTAGCTATTATTAAAAATTCCTAGTGTCCTTTCTGTATGTGACTTATTTTTCTATCAGCAACCTGAAAACAGGCATATAGATAGCAACAATTGCATTAATTTAGGGTTGGAGTTTATTAGTCATAAGTGGCAGTGCATCATGGAAAATAAATATTATTATCTCAAGGGGCTGAATGACACGAGGCAGAGTAGGGTAGGAACTAAAGAGAGGAGTCAGCTAATAGGCCAAAGGAAAATGTGTAGGTGGTGTGGTCAGCAGTTACTGAAAGAGGGGCAGTGGTCAGAATCAAGACCTAAAAGAGGGCCCAGCAAGACTAAGGACCAGCTGAAGGTGTATCACGCGGGCGGGGCAGGGCAGGGCAAGATAGTTGGTGATGAAAGAGGAGCCCAAAGGTCAGCCCAGGATGGTAGTAGTCTTGAGAAGAGTAAGAGACAAAATTTTCCAAGGACTGAAGGAAAATGGCTGTGCAGTCATTGAGGGCAGAGAATAGAGGGACTGGTAGGGTCCAATAACCTGAAGTGCAAGGAGTGGGTTTTTCTGCAAGGGTCATAATCTAGAAGCAGCAGAATAGCATGAGAAGAGCCGCCCCCATCTTCCCTTGCAGCTGTAGGAAACTTGGCGTGTGTAAGGATGAAGCCATTGAGGTTGCCTCAAAAACACCCCTGAAGAAACAGAAAATCCTCTGCAAGAGGATAGGGAAAATGTTAGGGTTGATTTTCAATAGATTATGAAGCTGATTTTGAGGGGAATCCATTGGAGATTGAATCAGGAGAGAGGAACCCCAGAATTATTTGTGCATGGGGAGTTCAGGAGGATTTACATCTTAGTAATTGAGGACTGAGAAGTTTGTGATTGGCTATGTTAGCCAGATTGACTTAGTTCAATTGAGTTCAAACTTAGTTTTCACTTTCTCAATTCTGTGGAAGTACATAGTCTCTGAGCCTGAATCCCACCTGTAAGTCAAAATAAAAATACCCTCCTCCACCTTACAGGGCTCTTGTGAGGAACAAGTGAGATGAATGTTTGAAATATGTGGTACCCCATG